GAACCCTTGTAGAACAGCTGTGCTTGCACATCAGTCTGTGAAATGCTCTTACTAAGGCTTTTGTGTTAGTCCAAGTGTGGTTCACTGGTGACCCAGGAGAGCCCATATTCCTCAAAGCAGATCCTGGTAATTAAGTCTCCCCACTCTGGCACGGGCACTGACCATCAACCTGTAGGGGCAGACTGAAAGTGGGGCAGGCGATGCTCTCTTCTCCCACCTCCTAGGTGTGGGTCTCTCACAGAATCACAGAATAGTAGGGGTTGGAAGGGACCTCTGTGGGACATCTAGTCCAACCCTCCTGCCGAAGCAGGGTCTCCTACAGCAGGCTGCACAGGACCGCATCCAGGAGGGTCTTGAATATCTCCAGCGAAAGAGACTCCACAACCTCCCTGGGCAGCCTGTTCCAGTGCTCCATCACCCTCAGAGGGAAGAAGTTCTTCCTCATGTTCAGACAGAACTTCCTGTGCTTCAGTTTGTGCCCGTTGCCCCTTGTCCTGTCGCTAGGCACTACTGAAAAGAGTCTGGCCCCATCCTCCTGACACCCACCCTTCAGATATTTATAAGCATTTATTAGGTCCACTCGCAGCCTTCTCTTCTTCAGGCTGAACAAGCCCAGCTCCCTCAGCCTCTACTCATAGCAGAGATGTTCCAGTACCCTCATCATCCTTGTAGCCCTCCGCTGGACTATCTCCAGTAGCTCTTCATCTTTCTTGAACTGGGGAGCCCAGAACTGGACACAGTACTCTAGATGAGGCCTCACTAGGGCAGTGTAGAGGGGAAGGAGAACCTCCCTCGACCTGCTGGCCACACTCGTCTTGATGCACCCCAGGATTTCATTGGCTTTCTTGGCAGCCAGGGCACACTGCTGGCTCATGGTTAACCTGTCGTCCACCAGTACTCCCAGGTCCCTCTCCACACAGCTGCTCTCTAGCAGGTCCAACCCAAGCCTGTACTGATGCATGGCGTTGTTCCTCCCCAGGTGCAGGACCCTGCATTTGCCTTTGTTGAACCTCATCAGGTTCCTCTCTGCCCAGCTTTCCAGCCTATCCAGGTCACGCTGAATGTCAGCACAGTCTTCTGGTGTATCTACCACTCCTCCCAGTTTTGTGTCATCAGCAAACTTGCTGAGGGTACATTCTAACTGTTCATCCAGGTCATTGATGAAGAAGTTAAACAAGACTGGGCCCAGTACTGACCCTCACTTGCCATGAAGCCAAAATCCTCATGAAGGGCAGAGGGTTGGGCTCTTCTGCCAGTCTGGGCTGCAGAGACCCTCCAGCCAACCAGCCTTACACCTCAAGGACAGTATAGTGGCAGCACTACTGCTGGCTATGTTTCATGTTGATGTCCCTTGTGTGATGTACACAGAGACAGCACTGACTGTCCATCCTGGTCACACCCTGTGTGCAGGGAATAGGTCATCAAGAAAGTGCTCAGAGGGAGGTCTGAAGCCCATAAACACTGAACCATCATCGCAATTCATGAGTCATCCTAATGCAAATCTCACAGAGCTAAGGAGACAGTCAATTCTCATAGGACAGGAATAAAAATTCATGAAATTCTATTTAAAAAAAAGCAGATCACCCAACTGCTGACCTCAGTCAAAGACATGACCCGACAGTTCCCCCATAACAGGACACTTAATTGACTAGTTGTACCAGCATCTACAGCCCTCCTGCTCCAAAATATACGCAGTTACAAACTTCCCCTTGATATGATCACCCAGCTCTCCATCCCACAACCCCAGCTGACCTCAGAGGCTGCTCTCCCAAACAGCCACCTCCCTAAACCTTTGCAAAGCACCAGTTCTTCATATTCAGCTCCCCTGAGGAGTATCTTTCACTAGCACCTCTCCCTTTCATACAGCCAAACCAAAGTGGAAAAAAAATATAAAAATTGAGCAGAATCCAGAGGCATGGATTAGTTTTATGCCTACCTCTGTGCAGATGACATCACCACTGCTTCCAGCACGCCAGCATGTTCGCAGGCTTGAGCTAACATACTGGCCTTCCCTAACTACGGAGTCCACAGGTCCATAGAAAAAGCTGTTACGAGTCCCAGTAAGCTTCATAATGCCGGCCAGTGGAATCAGAGATAGCCTTGTCTGGGTGTCAGGCCCTGTGGCTCTCATGGCAGCAACACATTCATGGTCTGTAATCTAGTTGTTGGTCAGATCCGAAATATTGTTGCAAAAAGAGCCAAGCTTGGGATTTCTGATGCTAGACTGGTCCACGGGACACTGGACTCTGTCCATGTATGATTAGTCCAGCTCACAGAAAGGCGATGGAGTACAAAGTCTGGGGAGTGAGATCTGGCCAAGGCTTTCTCTTGGCCTCAGCCCCGTCCTTCTGCACATGCTGTTCAGAAACCATGGATGAGTATAGGCTTAGGGTCAAGTAAAGAGGATTAGGCAGATGGACTGAATGGATAGGATGAACTGCCTAAAAATCTTCTCAGGGCTTTGTTTCAATTTGGAGAGCTGGCACTTAAACACTTTTGACTCATCAGATGAGCAAACACAGACATTTCAAACAGAAATGCTTGGTATCATTTCGTCATCCCAAGGAAGAGTCTTTTTAGAACCGCTAAGTACAAATTAGCTCTTTTCAGAATGTGTTAATTCTCTAGCAAATTCAGTATAAGAAAGGATTTAAACATGATGATAATAGTTTGTTAATCAAAGAGTATTAGCTTCAAGATAATGATTTGCTGTGTACTTGCATGATTATCCACTCTAAAGGACAAAAAAAAAAAATTTTGGACTTTTTTTTGCTAATTTTCAAATGCTTCCTCATTTTCTGACACCTACAGAGCTATTTGGTGTGTTCCAACACTACAAAAACATGTAGGAACATGCAAAGAAGCAAGGACTTTCCCTCTTTTTTTTCTAACCACTTCTAATTAAATCTTTGAAACCTGGAAAGCAGCTCATTGTCTGAAAGGCAGAGCACTGTTAATCCCTTGCAAGCAACTTGGTAACAATAATTAACTACAGAAATACAAGACTAGGGATAACCGGGCATGCAGCATGTCTGCAGAAAAGGAGCTCAGTTGGCATCTGGTCTGAAATTGAACATAAGTAAATTTTATCATGTTTCAACAGAAAGGTTTAGTCACCTGATGTGCCAGTGTCCTTTGGGCACAGGTCACCCTGCCAGAGAAGAGCATTGTGTGGAAGACCATACCAAGTCCCACCAAAGCCACAGTTACGTAGGACTCAAAAATCAAGACTTACATACTAAACTCCTGACACCCACACATACACAGAAAGTACTGATTGTATGATTTCTGATTCTTTGCCATTTGCACAGTCCATCTTTTCTCTGTATCCCAGAGACCTAATATTTCTCTCATGGTCACATCATTCTGGGACAAGGGCTGGACAAATTGGACAATACCAGAAACTTTAACACCACCAAAGTAGTATTTCTTTCTCCTAGAGCAGCCCATACTGCTGGAAGTTACAGTTCACAATGCAGTGGTTCTGCTGGCACGTGCCAGTGAAGATGAGCCTGGGATTTCTGTGTCTCTTTCTGGTTTGCAACACAGGTAAGGACAATGGTTTGGTGCTCCTCAGGGAATAACCCAAGTGTTTCTTTCCCAATTGCTCCCCCTGCCCCATTCCCACATCTGTGTCAGCCTTGTTTCTCTCACCCTGCATTGTGTAGGCAAGGCTGATGGGCTGGAGCTCCAAGGCTGGTGTCATGCAGCAGAGCAGACCAGATGCTGACAAAGGGCTACTCTTAGCTCCCATGCCATGAATCTGGAGTCAGAAGGGTTTATATGGAAAGAGACAGAGAGTTAGAAGAGCTCTTACAATCTAGATAGTTGGTCCAAATTTTGCTCTTACTAAGTGAGAGTTGTTAATACAGCTGACTAGCACCGTATGAGGAGCCACGATTTACGGACCTCTTGCCCAGGATTATTCATATGATATTTCTCTTTATGTAGAAAGACAGAAGAAAGGGAAATGTATCCCAGATTGTCTTCTGTACAAGGCATAGATTTTTGTATGAATTAGGACAAGCTCTCGGGTTTCACCATTTTAGGAACAAACAGACAGATCTCACAGTCACATCTCCTCTTTCTCCTGCGTCCAGTCCTACAGATTTCCTTTTGATAAAAAGGAAGCTGAACCCAAGTTTCCTACTCCCTGGTGAGAGCTCTGTCCATTAGGTTACAACACAGACTGGAGCATCACTAGCACTGACGTGAACCCTCATGACCACCACCTCCCAGGAAAGGACTACTCTCTGGGAAGCTTGGATGGACTGAGAAGCTGAAGCTTCAGAGAGGCATTGAAGTTCAGCGTTTTCTAGCACTGGCTCATTTGAAGACCCTTCTGGATTAGTCTTTGGAGGGACTCAGCTTTCCAGTGATTGGATAGGGAGCCTAAGCCCCAAACTCCTGCACTTTAACTTGTCCTGCGATGCCTAAGTCACTGCTCTGCACCTTGCTCTTGCTGGTCACCAAGGGAATCCCAGGAAGCGAGTCCAATCTCCTGAGCCCAGCTCCAGTTTAATCCTCCTGCAACACAGCTCTTGACAACAGCACTCAACTGAATGACTGCTCTGAGTAACAAACGCCTACACAGCCTGTGAAGGTTTGTTTAGATTTGGCCTTATCATACTACGTACCTTGCAGACAACGTTGTGCGCAAGCCTAGCACATGCTTCTACAACAGTTTGGTACTTGTTTTTTTTCTTTCTATTCCTGAGTTCAGGGGGCAAGCTCTGATATTTGATCTGTTTTCTTTCTTTAGCTGCCAGCTAAGGGACCCGGCAAGTCCTTTAGTACATCCTTTTCCTTAGGCACCTGATCAGATGCTGTCGTGGATACTCAGTGGCTGCTTTGCAGTGCTGATGTCCATTGTTTCTGAGCTATAATAAATGAAAGCAGCAAAATAAGCCAGGCAGAGAGCTCAGCAGAGAGCTCAACAGAGATTTGCCTGGTTTCTCAACAGGGAAAACTGTTTCTCAGTCTCTTTCTTCACTTCACAGCTTCATGCCTAAGAAGAGAAAATAAGAAAGAGAAGCAAGTGGCAGTGCTGGCAACTTCAGGTAACAAGCAGCAGGTCAGGAGACCCTGTCTGGGGGTGTTGATGGGAGTGGGAGGTATTGTGCTGGACACGGAGATGGTGGCAGATGAGCCCTTCTCCTGTATTTTGTGAGCCCCAACCCACCAATGCTGCTAGGGCTCCTCACCCAACACAGGGCCTATGCAGGTTCCTGGTGAGTTTAAGCTCCCTCCTTCCAGGAATTGAGACTGTTGTTTTGTCTTTTTCCTTTCTCTCCTTTCCAGCTCTCCATTCCCTTTTGTTTTCTCTTTACTCTCTTCTACATTGTGGACAAGCCCTGCTTCCAGCCTTGGGGTACTATTTGGTTTTGAACTGTTTAAAAATAATACTGATGTCATTGGAAAATTGCATTTCTTCCCAAATTTGATTTTATTCTCATCTCGGCTTTCTGTGCTTCTTTTTCCATCCTGTTCTGTGTATTCTCTCTCTGTCATGCACACACAGACCTTCCTCCTCGCACACACACACACAGACACCATACTGCTCCGCTTGTGCGTGACTTTGTGGGAGGGAAGCAAAAGAACATCTTAGGAAATTTTGACTTGGGAAAAACAAATAAGCAATGTAAACAGAAAGAAAACATGTTAGAATAAAAAATGTGATTCAGCTACAGTCAATTTATTCTGTCATAGCATTATAGACGTCAATGTAGCTGAAAAAAAACCAAAAAACTGCATTTTCATCCCAGTTCTATGTAGTACTGGGGAAGGGGGAACATTTCCCAGGTACTTTCTCCTCTCTTTGCGATCTGCAAACAGAGACTTGCTCCAATTTTGGAAATAAATACCCATTGCCCAGCGTGAGGGGACACAGAGACATCAGGACTAGCAGCCTGCTCAAGGGCAGGCTCAAGGGAGCAGGGGACATAGAGCCCGACCTAAACCTGGGCCTACCATTGCACTGCCCATGTCTTGTTATATTCCAGACTCCTCTCTGCACTCCTGGTATTTTTATCTTCTTACCACAGTTTTTTCAGTGCACCCTGATACATAATCTGCTCATTATGTCTTTCCCATTCTGGAAGACTTTTGCCCTATACAGCCAAGGGATTAACAGCCATTTCCCTCACGCCGCCAGCTGCTCAGAGACCCCTTCTTTTTCAGAGCTGCCTGCGAAGTCGGTGGATCTGGCTGCTCTTAACCTGACAGAGCTGGTGAACGGTATGCTGAACACAGTGCTCCGAGGTAATGTGACAAGGCCAAGCAGGTCGCGCAGGCTGTCAGCCCGGCGGTCAGTGAGATAAAGGGCTAACGCTGTTAGCAGAGAAGCCGTGAACGCATGCTGTCTGCCTCCAGAATTGATTCTAGGAGCACGTTAAGCTTGCACATTTATAATGCAGATAGCTGTCTGCCCCAAAGAATTTACAAATTAGTGTGTGTATATATAGACACAACATAATTACTTATGGGATGTCTTTAGAAAGTACTTTATAGTCTAGGTTTGAATTAGAAAAAAAAAAAAAAGTAATGCAAATGATCCTTCCCTCAGTGGAAATGAGAAAGAATTGAGTCTCAGGCAGCTGCATAGTATCAGCATCTCAGGAGTCTTTTAGAAATTAAATGAGCAGAGTAAAAACATGCTGCTCTCATAATTTGTTCTGACTGTTAATAGCATGGGCATGTGTTTCTGCAGGTACCAAAAAACTCTTCTCTTTGCTGAGCGTCACTTCTTACAGCTCGTTTGCCTTCCACAAAGTGTCAGTCACGATTTATAACAGTGAGTGCCTTGGTGCCTGGCTCCACGCAGGAGCATTTTCTCTCACACAGCTTGTGCATCAAGATACTGGTTTTTCTCTGTCTCTCCTTACAGTTTCTAATGTGAAAAATGTTGACCCTGGCAAGTTCCCTATGCATTACTGCTACTGTTTGAACAATGTGACAAATGACTTGACAGGTGGGTACACAAGACAGCTTGGCAATTGCATGTGCTTAAGTTGAATTTTTTCCTTTTGAGCTGAAAGCTGTAGCCTGAATTCTGCAGACTTCATCCTTACGAGCGGCATCGCCATACTGAGGTCAACAGCCATTACTCACAACAAGTTGCTACTCTGAACCTTGTGGGACAATCAGTGAACTCAGTCTCAGATAGCTGCACCCAGCCAGCCAGTCTGGAATGGAGTCATCAGCCAAATGACCAGCACGGTTTACCCAGAGGAAAGACTTCCCTTTCCTCCTGGGAATACAAAGAGCAGCGCAGGAGAGACAATCAGGCAATACACTACCTTAGCCATTTTCGCTTTGCTGAGATAACCATAGGAGATGAACGAGGGCTTCTCTGCACCAACAGACCCCAATAACATCAACAAGCTCAACAGGAGTGAAAAGCAAGGATTATCTTCATACAGTTGTTTAATGGAGTGTAAAATCATAGAATCATAGAAACATAGGTTGAAAAAGACCTCTAAGATAATCAAATCCAACCATCCACCCAACACCACAATGCCTACTAAACCATATCCCAAAGTGTCACATCTACACGTTTTTTGAACACCTCCAGGGATGGGGACTTAACCACCTCCCTGGGCAACGTGTTCCAATGCCTGAGCACTCTTTCAGTAAAGAAATTTTTCCTAATATCCAATCCAAACCTCCCCTGACACAGCTTGAGGCTGTTGCCTCTTGTGCTATCGCTACTCACTTGGGAGAAGAGACTAACACCTGCCTCACTACAACCTCCTTTCAGGTAGTTGCAGAGAGCAATAAGGTCTCCCCTCAGCCTCCTCTTCTCTAGACTAAACAGCTCCAGCTCCCTCAGCCACTCCTTGTAAGACTTGTTCTACAGACCCTGCACCAGTTTTGTTGCCCTTCTCTGGACACACTCCAGCAACTCAATGTGCTTCTTGTAGTGAGGGGCCCAAAACTAAACACAGTACTTGAGGTACAGGGGCACGATCCCCTCCCTGCTCCTGCTGGCCACACTGTTCCTGATACAAGCCAGGATGCCGCTGGACTTCTTGTCCACCTGGGCACACTGCTGGCTCATGTTCAGCCGGCTGTTGACCAGCACCCCAAGGTCCTTTTCCGCTGGGCAGCTTTCCAGCCACTCTTCCCCAAGCCTGTAGCATTGCATGGGGTTGTTATGACCCAAGTGCAGGACCTGACATTTGGCCTTGGTAAACCTCATACAGTTGCCCTTGGTCCATTAATTCAGTCTGTTGAGCAAATCCTTCAATTACAATCCTCTTTCACACCTCTGGCCTCACAGTATTTAACATTCCAGGATGGGTCTGAGCACTCAGTTTCTATGGGTGGTTAATGTAGGATATCAAGAGTAGCCCAGCAGCTAGGGACCAGAACCCGTACCCTCTAAGCTTCATGTGATGTCCACATACATGAGCTACAATGGATTTCATGTTTTTTTCTGGACTCATACATGTCACAACCATCATTGCATAATGACCCAGTCTGCCTTGGATGATAATGGAGAAACTTTATTTTTTCTGAACTAAATCCAGAACATCTTGGTGATGAGAGCACCTTCCCAAGTAGTAGAAATTGAGGGCCCAGCACAGGGCTTGTGTCTCTCACTCCCAAAGTGAGATCACTGACCTGTTACTGCTAGAACCTGTTACGAGAAAGTCATAACAACACCACCAATCAGCATTTTTTAAGCTGGCAGCAACACTATCGATATATCTGAAGTAGACCTCAGAGGGGACAATCAGATGCCTCCTGGAAGGCCCCACATGGCAGCTAGGCAGTTAGTGCAGGCAAGGCCCACAAGCTTTTGTTCTCCTTCTATCTTTGAGCAGACTAAGTACAGTGTTACTTTAAACTGTTTGTTTGAACAGATTAATTCCAGTTAAGTTTACTTTTAGGCACATTCGTGCTATTTTGGATATCATCTTTGAAATATATTTCTGCAGAGTATTCCAGTGGCTTCCTAAATCCACTGCCTTCCAGTAGAACCATTCTGAAGTTTAAAATATCTTCAACATTTTCATGTACAAGAATATATCCAAAATGTGATCACATATGAATGTGATTTTTGGCTTAGCATAGATGGTAAAATATATGCTTTCAATCGTAATCTTTCTCTATTTTGTTGTCTAGATTTTACAGCTTTACTTGTTGATATTATTGGAAACTCCACCAGTTATCTCACAGAAATTTTCAAATCCACTTCTATTCTCTCAGGTTTGCGTTTCCTCTTAACATTTATCACTGTCTTATTTGTGTGATTTACTCCTGGCATGGAAACAAGCATAGAAATGTGTATAGAAGCGTGTTGCTCTTACTCAGCAGCATTTTTCTTGCAAAGCATGAACTGCAGTTGTAAACAAAGACTCCTCAGAGGAACAAGATACATATATGCTGCGTGTATATATATTTATAATAGAGACATACATGTTTCTATGAGCAACCATGTTTTGTTTGAAAGTTTGGTGAATTATTATTAAATACTGGTATTTGGGGGAATTATGATTCCCAAACACTAATTATGGTCTACAATAACGAAGGATTTATTTTTTCCTCTCAAAAACCTTTGTAATTTAGAATTTTAATTAAATAGAAGTATTTCCCCAGGAAATATTAGCATTTAGATTTAGTTTGAGGTTTTTGTCAAAAATCAGATCAAAAGGAAAATACTTGGCCAGTTGTAGCAGATACATACCATTTTGTGTTTGTATTTTCAACTGTTTAAGATAATAGCATATTATGAAAAATGGTAACAATGATCAGGTTTACATTTTTTTGCCTTTCAGAGCGTCAGAGCAATGAGTCAGATTGTATATACATCTGTGTTATGACAGGGCAGACAGGTAAATGTGAAAACCATTCTGCCCCAAAATATTGCCTTACGTATTAGCAGCGATGACTTACACCAGGAGCAAGCCTTTCTTCATACTTGTGACCATTTCTAGTTGCAGGGAGAAATCTGTCTGACTTTTGGGAAATGCTGGAGAAGTCTCCTGCTATTAATTACACATTTTCCAGTAACACATCTTCTGACCTGGGTAAGTACTTCCTGGGAATATCAGGAAATAGAAAAAAAAATGAAAACCACATCCAGGTAGGACTTGCAATGAATATTCCATCTTCATAATGTAAAAAATAATTTTTAAGTAGTTATTTCATATTTTTATCATTATTTGTGTATATTTTTACATTCTGATATATTCTGTACTAAACAGACTAATATTTATATTATTATAAGTGTTATACAATATTTACATTATAAATATAAGTAAAATGTACAAACTTTTAAATTATTATCTGTGAGGTCTTCTAATGGAGGAATGAACAAAACCTCCTGGGATGAGAGTTTTTACAGATTTCAGCACTGGGCTGGGGAGGCTTCCTGATGCTCTTAATCTAAATGGGTACCTCCCTTACTCTCAGCACAAATTCTCTCCTACCTTCACCTGAGTTGCCTTCATAAAGGAATATATTCAGCCAGTGTGCTGCATGGCTCCTCCAACCCTAACTGCTATGTCAGGTGGAGATGCACTTCAGGCACTCACCCCTCATTGCTGCCCATGACTATTTCTCATTGTCAGTGCTTGATTAAAACGGGCAGACAGGGAAATCAGTGGCAAGTTTACCTGTGCTGAAAGCTGTAGGATGTTTCAGTCCTTTAAAAAAAAATAATCAAAGACACTTTGCCAAAGAAGACTTTCATTTAAAATGACAACAGCTGTTTCTTTTATACCAGCGCCTGATTTCTTTCTTTTTTATCACACAATATGCGGTGGATGCTGAGCGTACTAACCCTATCTTCTCATAACTGAAAGATCTAGGATCGATACTTCCAAGTTTTACGAAGCTGCAGGAAGACCCAAGTAAAACAGTGGATCCATCAGCAGGACACGTGTGGACATTTAAAAGTGAGCAAGTATTGTCAGACCTAAATTTATATTCTTCTTGATTAACATCTTGATAAGTGACCATGAATATTTGCTGCACATCACTGTGATGATGCTGAATTACAATTACAGAGTAATATAAGATTTTGTCCCGTAAAGTAGAGGGTCAGGTCAGTAACACATCGAAAAGCTGAGGAACAGAACAACTATTTTAAAAAGACCTTTTTCCCCCCTGATATTATTAGAAAAAGTAGTTTTCTAAGGAGGCAGAGAAGTAAAAAAAAAAAAAAATTTTGTTTTTATACCAAGAAAAATATAGTTCCAACTGTTTCCTCTACTGTCTTATTGTAATTTTTTTCTTTTTTTTTCTCTTTGACTTATATGACATTCAGTTGTGAGCACCTGAAGATTTCATCAGCTTCAGTGCATTGAGCTTTGCCACAACGCTACAAGATAGAAAAGTGTTAGTCTGCCCTATACTGAAAGCAGAAAAGCCAGTCTTCACACTTCCTTCCACACTGTAGGAGCAAAGAGAAAATCAGAATTTTACTGCATACCTCCTCACCACTGCAGCTGCATCTGTCTACAACAAAATTTACATATTTTTCCTTAGTCATTCTGCTGTCTTTTCATAAGCTCTTTTATTTTGCTCAAGTGCATACCAACCTTTGTTATCTTCCAGTCTGAGTGTCACTCCTGCCACAAAATGTCACCAGTTCTCAAATTCCAGTATCTGGCCTCCAGTACCCTCACACAGACAAGAGCTTTCATCTCTTTCCTCTGCAGTGAAGCAGTTCAGGAAATAAAAAATAATTTATGTGAAGAAAAAAGAACACTTTGCAGGAACATTTCAGTTTCTATTTATGAAAACTTGTACATTAAAAAATTCTTAGTTAAAGTTTCAAACATTATTGTTTCCATATTTAAAATGCAATGGAGAGGTGGCCGTTCACCCGCCAGGGGAAGAACTCAAGGAAGAGATGCAATTTTCTGGGAGTATTTCAGATATTATTGTCCCCCAGTGTGTTATGGTCGCTGCTGCCATGGGGCACCAGGCTCCACAGCGCGTTGCTGGTGCCCCCTCTGTCTCTGTGTCTCTGCTTCTCCAGCTACCAGGATCCCTCTTGCCCTGAAAGGGGAGGAGATCCCCACCACGAGGTTCCCACCATGGCCAAGGACGGCTGGAGTTAAAGGATCAGGGTTTCCATCACCACATATGAATGCTTCCATCCCACGAGTCACGGCTGGAACCCGTCCGACTGCTGGGGGGAGCTCGGCCCCATCGCCAGCCCCACAGCCCAGTCCCAGTGAGTATGGTGCCAAGGGCTGACACTACTGTACCCCGCTAGCAGTGGGATTTGGCCAAAAGCTGAAACCACATCACTGAGGTTGAGGTTGGGAGGCACTTCAGGGAGACCCACTCTGGGTCACTAGTGAGTAGATTTTTTTATTGTAGAAGAGTTAAATCAGTTATAGGGTTCATCTGTAGTTTCGAATCCTTTGGGGAAAAACTAAGCCCTGCTCCTCACAGACACCTCTGCCAGCCAGGTCTTCTCCCACATTTTGCTCCAAATACAGTGAGCAGACTCGTGAAAAAGCAGTATAGAGATGCTTCTCTTGGCCTCCATGAAACGTACCTTCTTTAAATCCTACTTTTCCTCAGCCCATGGACTTCTCAAGTTCTAGAAAAGTACAGCTTTTGTCCTTCCTTTTTCATATTGACATTTTTATCTGCCACTGGAAGTACTGGATGAGGGACTCTGGCTGTTGAGCTGTCTCGTATATGGCAGTTTTCAGCAGACAGATAAATAACAAATATCCTGGATAACATGAAGCGTGTGTCTTTCTGTTCCCACAGCTGACGTGTATGCACTTCGGATGCAGACGTTGTCGCCTCAAGAAACCAGCAAACTGATGCAAACAGAGCCAGGTGAGATTGATCTGGGATAATAACAAAGTGTGTCAGCTGGGACGTTTATGAAATAGAACATAATATATACAGAAATAGGTGACTGTGAATGTATTTATACATCAGTGTTAACATAAGTGTTAGTGGTCTGTGACCAGCTTTTTTTTTTTCTGTTATTCTGTCAATCAACCTTCCTTTACTTTTTTCCTGTTAAAATGTCAAGGAAACTTACATTCTTTTCTCTCCTTCAGATTTGCCTTCCCCAGTTCTGTCTACACCACCCTACAGGCCTGGTATGACCTTGAAGCTCTACTCAGCTACCAGTAAGTAGCTGCACTTCATGAAGCAAAAATAGTAATACGTTTGAAAATGTATCATTATGTAAATTTTCCCATGCAGAAACAACATCTATGTTTAATTTATGTGACATCTTACATATGTAAAACACTCAAAATGTATAAGGGACTGCTTCCACAGTTGTTTGTGAATCATATAAAATTGGACATTCAAAATGTAAATTGTACCGCCTTGATAAAATTAACCTGTGTACTCCGTGTGTCAATCTTAACATGGATTAGCTCTTGGAAAATTTTAAAATTCATTTATTGCAAAAGAAAGTTTCATGCTTTAAATCTCCCTGTTGGTACAGATGATTAAGTCAATCCGTGCCACATGAAATCTCTGCAATTGTCCTAAACTTACAGTACTGTAGACTTACTCTTTGGCTAAAGAAGGATCATTATGAGCTAGATTCTCAGGAAAGCTCAGTTTTTTCTTTAAGCACCAAAATAAAGAGTTAGAATTTAAGATCTCAGCATGGTAAATGCATGACAATGTGCTGCTCCACTTATAGGTGTCATATACTCCTGTTGGCAATAAAACTGTGTTTACATATAAGTATTAAGTAAGAGGTTATATCCTTTGAAAAACTGGACCTGATTCAATGCCAGAAGGGCAGACTTTGATATGGATTTCTAATAAGCCTAAGGAAGAGAAAACTGCTGCTGGCAGTTAGCCTGTCAAAACAGGAGAGGCAAAGTGAAAAACTGAGCATCGCCAGCAGGTTTTTGCATGAAGGGAAACTGTGGCCTTGTGGTCCTTCTCTGCCAGTGGAGCTGATCCCGAGCATCAGGGATGCAGCCAGCTGCCTGGCTCCACACAGGCGACCCCCAGGTCTTTATTTTGGGGTTACCTGGAGGCTTAAAATCCATATTCTGGCCTGAGTTCCCTGCTAATCTCACCATTTCTAACGATACTTTGACTATTGACTTCTCACAGCTCGCTGCTGAATTCCAACACTTGTCTGTAAAAGGTTTCTTTTGAGGGGTAAACACATTTGAGTCAGAAAGAAAGTTTCTTTCACAGATCTTCAATTTTTCTGTCATTGGGAATAATCACATACTAGGTGAGCAGTAGTGTCTCACAGTTCTGGTCTCATTTGCTTTTTCCATTGGTTTTGCTGCTGTTGCCTATTGCAGCAACCCAAGACCAGGATCCTGTACTGTTACTTTTTGTAGCTTTTGCTGATTTTGATCAGGTTTTTCAGTGTTCCCAGTCCTGTTCTGGTTGACTGAGTTTATCACAATATGTTGGATTGCCTGTCTTCCTTTTTTTATATTTTTAATTTTTGTTTTACTCATACTATTAGAAAAGAAAGCATTTGAGAGCATAAGACTCAGTGGGGCATCCTTTTTCAGAAGTAAATAATATTATCAGCGTTAAAAATACTGACCGTGAAAAACAAACTTTGACAACAGTGTCAAGTGATCATACAAACCCAAGCCCTGCAGAAGGGTACTGTCAGGGAAGAGGGGGAGGAAGCTGTTGCCTGGGAGGCCTGAGAACACTGCAGTAAAGAAAGTACCTACTGAGACATGCTTCCAAGCAGAAAACTCACTGGTGCTGAGCCAAGGAGCAGTTCTTGATGTAAGAGGCATTTCGAACTGTGGAGATAAGAAGCCAAATATCTTTTTTATTGATCTTTCTCTCATTTTACTTCTGTTTAAAGAGCTGGAAATACCAGACAAGATAGATATGGATATGTCTTACCCTGCAAGACATACATTGGTTGTATGAAGAAAATGAGCCAATGTCATGTCACATGAATATAGTTTAATCTCTTGACATTCTTGATTGTGTTAAGAGAAGAGTCTAAGAAGAACTGGATCTTCTTACCTTGATTGCGAGAAGAAGAACATGCTATGGTGATTCCTATCCATCAAAAATTCTGCACAAAACCAAAGTTCTCTGCAATCTTGTTTGTGTTGGGGGAGGTTGATGTGAGAATTAAGTAACAGCCAGCCAACTGGAAGCTGTTGGTGTGACTGGACTTGTGATGTGCACAGTCCGGGGTTTATTCATGTGCCGATTGCTGTCTGGTGGGCAACACTATAGACACTGGAGAATCTAGGACTGGGAACCAGTCCATTTTGAAAAGACTGGGAAACATGGATTTCAATGAGATCAGGGAATGCAGAGTCACTAAATGCATCCCTACAAGAAACCATCATGACAGACGCTGTCTACTGCATATGTCAATCATGCATTTA